AAAAAAAAAAAAAAAAAGAATGAAACATACCTTTCTGGCACCTTGATCTTGGACTTCCAGCCTCCAGAACTGGGAGAAATAACATTTCTGTTGCTTAAGCCACCCAGTTTGTTATGGCAGCTTGAATGGGCCAGGTATAACAGAATCCACCTAAATCATTTTTTTCCGGAACTAATTGTTAATGCCTATAAAACACTTAACACTGTGCCTGGCATCTAGTTACACTGTTAAACTGCTTACCACCAGATGTAAATATTTGTGGAATGAATAAACAAATCCTTTTCTGCAAGTTTGAGCTCTTATGCGACGGTTTCCTTAAAGTGAACCTGCCTGCATTACCATCCCAGAATATTCAGACACAGATGAACTCCTTAAAAAAGGACCTTATTGGGGTGCCTGAGTCGCCCCGCTGGTCGAGCATCTGACTCTCGGTTTTGGCTCAGGTCATGATTTCAGGGTTCGTGGGTTTGAGCCCCACATTAGGTTCTATACTGGCAGTATGGAGCCTGCTTGAGATTCTCTCTTTTTCTCCCTGCCCCTCTCCTGCTCTCTCAAAAATAAATAAATAAACATAAAAGAAAGGAATTTATCAACAAAAATACAGTCTTAAGAGGCTGTGTGTGTGTCAACTCTTGTTTTTGTTTTTGTTTTTGTTTTTTAGAATGCCCACCAGAGGGCTCCCTGAGGTCTTTCTCCTTCCAGATCATGATTGGCCCCCGGGGAAAGGACCACTACGGGAAGGAAGAGAAGCTGTGTTCTCATCCGGCTTACCCCACGGGAGTAAACAAATACATAAACGAAATTGTTCAGTATGTGCTCGGTGTTGCCTGACTTCTCTCGCTCAGCATAATAACTTTGAGATTCATTCACGTAGTTGTGCCTGAACGAGTCGTTCGCGAGTCATACTCGATTGCATGGAGAGAACACACTTTATCTGTCCGCTGGTTGATGGTCTCTTGGTTCGCCTCTCATTTTTGGCTACTACGAACATTTGTGGCACACATTTACATGTGGGCAGGTGTTTTCATTTGTCATGGGTAAATACCTAGAAGTGGAGTGTGTAGATCAGAGGGTAGTTACGTATTGAACTTTTAAAGAAACTACAAGCTACTTTCCAAAGTGGTTGTACCCCCTTACGTTTCTTTTTTTTTTTTTTC